TTGTCTTAAAAATTAAGACAGTATGACTCCTTGAACAAATGCTAGACTCAGAAGCTTCAAATAAACTGCTGGAAAGAATAATACAATTTGCTATTTCAGAGTTACTTGTATGGCAACAGATAAGTAATGAAGCTAAGTTTTTTTTGCATCATTCAGTTTTTCTTCAGAAGAACATAAGCTTTCAGATCCTTACCTAGTACAATAGTAAAAAAAAATGTTCCCAAATTTGACACTGCATTTGAATAGCTCCAATATAAAAACTACTCCAGTAGGTTTGAACCTATTTAATATTGATTTTGTTGATTTATCTATTAGTTTTAAGGGCACCTGATTCTGTAGTGACCCTGGGCAGCTTACATGATAAAGAATGAAACACGATAATAAACAAGGAGACTATACATGTCAAGACACAAATTCCAAGCAGTACAAAAATCATAGCTGACAGGGGCTCAGCAGGCACCCTACTCTAGAGTCTGGGAGAAGCAGATTTTTAAGGACTTCTGGAACACCATTAGGGTGGGACCTACACCAATTTCTGTGGATGCTATTCCAGAGGGAAGGCACTGTGACAGAAAAGGCATACTTCCTGGATATTGATGGCTGGCATTGTTTAATAGATGGGACCCATAGTGCACCAACTTTGCTGATCTTACCAGATGTGCAGAAACCATGGAAGATAGATGGTCGTTCAAATAGCCAAGCCCTATGCCATGAAGGGCTTTGTAGGTTGTAAATTGCTTGAAATTTACTCTAATTTTTACTCTAAAAATACTGATTGTAGAAGTGGATGATATATTGCATTTCACCTATAATTGAAATTCAGATCCCATCAGCCCCTCCCGGTAGTTGTTCTGTCTGGGACAAATATGAATTGGAATTCAACAACAGATTTCCCATTTTTAATATGGCATATGAATTGAATTATAGTTCATTGGTGACTGCTTGGAAGAAATCTGTCAATTGTTTATAGGATATTATACCAGTATTCTAGTAATTCTATAACATGCATATTAATATTGGTATATATATCTATATACTACTAAAACTCTCCTGCCTGTAACCTTCCAACAGTGCATCACAAGGCAAGTTTTTGAATCAAGGTATCTCAAATGGGTTAACTTAAAGAATGTGTCCAAAATCTGGGATCCATTACTCCCATGGAATTGAAATTTCAAGGATCTTCAGACCAGTTGTATTGGAAAAGTTGTGGCTGCTAGAGTGCCACCACATTCAGCTGCGTTCGCGTAAATGTGATTTCTGACACTCCCTGCCAGCTTCCCACGAGCAAAGTCAATGGGGAAGCCACAGGAAGTTGGAAATCACTCCTACTCCCACTGCTTTTTTGCCCGCCTGTGGTTATTCTGTTTATCTCTTTAGGTAAGTAAATATTAACAAAGGACAACCCAACCAGTCATAGGCTGTCTAATATTATACTAATACTGTGATTTAAAGAAACCTGAAATGGCTTAGGCTCTCCATGCATTAAGGTAATCTACTGTATATATTCCTCAAAATATTTTTCCCCACAGTGGCTTTATGCATTTTATTTATAAAACAGGGTCAGAGCTTATTCCAAACCAAAACACTTCACAGCACAGTATCTCTCCCTTCAATATGTTTTTCTGTAGTTGGTTTCTAAGTGCTTGCAAGAAGAGTGTACAACTTCTGGTAGCTGTTGCCTTACAAATCTTGAAAAATCTTGTTAGCCTTCTGTATGACAGCTTGCTGACAGCATTTAATGGTTTATACAATTGGCAAAGTGAGATTTGGTGGCAAAGAAAACAAGCAATGTTGCATTGGAAGTCTCAGTTTGAAATAGAAACTGGTGTAATTGAGCAGAAACAGTAACTTTCAAACTGTCTTAGAAAATAAATTTGCACATCACTCTACAAAATGGTTCTTCTCTGATGAAGATTATACAGTGGTACCTCTACTTACGAACGCCCCTACTTACGAACTCGCCTCGACTTACGAACCGGATCCGCGGCCATTTTCTGCCCGTTCCACGTGGTCCGCGGCCATTTTTCCGCCCGTCCCCCGTGGTCCGCGGCCATTTTTCCGCCCGTCCCCCGTGGTCCGCGGCCATTTTTCCGCCCGTCCCCCGTGGTCCGCGGCCATTTTTCCGCCCGTCCCCCGTGGTCCGCGGCCATTTTTCCGCCCGTCCCCCGTGGTCCGCGGCCATTTTTCCGCCCGTCCCCCGTGGTCCGCGGCCATTTTTCCGCCCGTCCCCCGTGGTCCGCGGCCATTTTTCCGCCCGTCCCCCGTGGTCCGCGGCCATTTTTCCGCCCGTCCCCCGTGGTCCGCGGCCATTTTTCCGCCCGTCCCCCGTGGTCCGCGGCCATTTTTCCGCCCGTCCCCCGTGGTCCGCGGCCATTTTTCCGCCCGTCCCCCGTGGTCCGCGGCCATTTTTCCGCCCGTCCCCCGTGGTCCGCGGCCATTTTTCCGCCCGTCCCCCGTGGTCCGCGGCCATTTTCCGCCCGTTCCACGTGGTCCGCGGCCGTTTTTCCGCCCGTTCCACGTGGTCCGCGGCTGTTTTCCCGCCCTGCCGCGTGGTCCGCGGCCATTTTCCGCCCGTTCCACGTGGTCCGTGGCCATTTTTCCGCCCTGCTGTGTGGTCAGCGGCCGTTTTTCCGCCCCTGATGCGTGGTCCATGGACGCCGGAACGGGTTACCGGTAATTACATTGAACCTTATGGGGAAATTTAAT